TTGAGCTTGGTTTTTTCTAGCACAATAGAAACACTCACAAGCCAGGGCTCTGTCCTGTTCTCTCTGAATTCCTAGTGCTCAGATGATCAGGATGTGACACTGAGACTCTGAGCAAGTTCTTGTTAAATACATGAAATGTGCACAGATCGGGCTCATAGTGATCTTCCTGTTTTCAGCTTCCCAAGTGCTGGGATTACAGGTGTATACCACCACATCCAGTCTCAGTCACAATCTCAGCACCCCGGGGGGCGGGGTGGCTGGCTGGCACGGCACACTGGGATTGAATCCTTGTCCCTGCATCTGCCTAAGCAGGCACTTTAATCTGCTGAGCTATCTTGCTGGCCCCTTATTAGGCTGAGGAGCTAGGTTTATACAGAAAAATAGAACTCTATATAACTCCATTGTATAACTATAAAAATACACCTTTTTTAATTTAATTTAATTTTTTTTTGTGTGTGTGTGGAACTGGGGATTGAACTCAGGCCCTTGTGCTTGCCAGGGAAGCACTTATTCTACTGAGCCATCTTCCCAGCCTAAAAACACATTTTTAAATGAGATTAGCAAAGTTAAAAACAATGTATGCTGGTAGTTAGATCCAGCTTTACCTTAAAAGGATATAAAACCTTTGCTTGTGGAAAATCATTAATACGCTCTGAATACATGACTAATGAACTCTCTCTTCCAAAAACGTGGGTATTTCTACTATAAGCAAAAATCATTCTCGGTCCAGTAGAATTTAATGCTATATATGACTGGTAGTTTTGTCAGTTTTTTCTTTCAGAAAACACAGTAAAGCTATGAAGTTAAATGTTTATGGTTAAACCCCTTCTGATATGTTACATTTAAAATTTTAAGATTCTGTCTATACATACAGGTTTATTTGTATGTGTTGTCTTTAACAAGACAGGCAGCCTTCCACCTAGAATTTCCATGTCTCTGCCCTGTTCACCTTCCTTCATACCCCTAATTTATGAAAACTTAACTGGCTCTGCCCGGTTCAAAGGTTTGTCTGATTTCAGAACCTCCAGGACACAATGAGAATAAGTGTCACCAATATTAAATCATTTGGCACCCAAAACTAACACACAAGAAATGATTAGTGAAACCTGTGGTTAAAAGTAAGAAACACTAGGGAGACTACACGATATTTACACGTGTGTGTCTGGTTTATCTCACTTATGAGTATATGTTCAAGTGGCATCCACTTCAGTATAAAGGCTTCGAGTTTATCATTCCTAATAGCTGAATAATACTCCATTGTGTAAAAATACCCCATCTTTTTCAACCATTCCTCAGGTGATGGGCATCTTGGTTGTTTCCAAGACTTGGCTATCACAATTTCTGACATTGCCAGTCAAGCGGAAGACCCAATACTATTATGGGCTACTGGCCTCTTTTAGAATATTTTGCTGAGTTGACACATCTGTAATATTCAAATAACGGAACTTAACAAAAAAGGGGGTACAGATGAATGTCCATTTTGTATCTGTGTATTCAAAGTGGTTAGGATAGATGTATAGTTGCATTCTCTTAATGAATAGAGGGATTTGTTCTAGTGGTGTTCGTAAATAGGATATCATGTCCGCATCTCGTATAGCAATTAACCACTAGGAAGAATGTATGCAATGTGTTAATTATTGAAACTGTCCTACCAATTTGGTTTGAAACTGCCTCATTGCTATTTGTTTCTCAATAAAATTATGGGGAAAAAAAAGTAAGACACAAGTTCTGGCCAAATAGCTCAGTAGATTAAAGCGCCTGCAAGCAGGTGCAAGGGCCAGGGTTTCATCCCTGGGCCTGCTATGCTGGCCCTGCCCCCAGGGCACACTGAGACAGCAATTGAGACTGGGTGTGGTGGCATGCGCCTATAATCCCAGCTCTTGGGAGGCCATGAACAGGTGGATCACTATGAGTCCGATCTAGTAGTGAGACCCTGAACACCCTGAAGGTCCTTCCCTAAAAAAAAAAAAAAAAAAAAAAAAAAAGAAAGAAAGAAAGAGAAAGAAACAAACTGTCCTGTCACTGTAAGTAAATACAGAATTATCACAAGGCTATTTATCACAATTTGAGAAATTCTTTCATTGTATACTGTGAAGATAAAACTTACTTGTCTTACCAGCTGTTAGGAACTTTTGAGGTCTGCAAAACAAATAAACAAATCCCACAAATGCTCCCTCACATGATCTCTAGCTAAAATCTAGCTAGAGCAATAATTCTAACAGTAATTCCTGAGGCTCCCACCAACCCTATGATTTTCTCGGACACGTTCATAGACTAAGTGCCGATGCTCATTCCATCACCCAAGGATAACAGTGTCCTCACACCCCACCACCAAAAGCATTGCAGAATCCATCCAGAGATACACTACAAAAACATCAGCCTTCCTGTGTCCCTGTGGCCCCAGAGGAAGATTACCCCATCACTAGGTAGCAAAGAACTTCCACACACAGAGCAAATTATCCTCCACCAAGGCAAGTTAGCAGCGCAATGCCGTCTCTGGCCACTGTCCTTGTGTGTAAACCAAAGGACACTCTTCAAATGTCTCTTTTAGCAGTATCAGTACCTCTGAATGGCTGTAAGTCTTTATAGGCGCATATCTAAAGTACATAATTACAGTCCTGGTGGGGAGCTGGGACGTGTTTGTGATACATCTTACATCGTTTTTCATCCCTCTGCTAGCCCCCCACTGCCCTCCCTTCCATCTTTACTAACTCTTAAATTTTAGAAGGTTTCGAATTTATCTGTGGACTAGAGCTGTGTGGGCTTAAACGAGAGGATCCACAGGTGCCCTGACACTCACCGAAGCTCTCCAGGTGACAGCCGAAGCCCACCTGCACTTGGAGGCTTTATAAGGAAGAATATAGCTAGTCCTTGCTATCCTTTAAAAATTTATCACACTGCTCAAAAACAGTGCCTTCCCATTAGTTGTTTCAAAGTGTTCTCCATAGTTAAAGTCAGTGCTACAATGAAGAAGCGCACAGGACAATACAGTGACAGCGAGCCTTTGAGAGCCCTCAACGATCACAAATAGCCAGCCACGGCACGCATGCCACAGCTTCCCTACCACTGGCATAGTATGCAGCAGAATGCAAGGAACACACACCAGTGTGAATGCTCAGGGCGTTTGACTAAAAGAAAAACAACGTCTTCCTTAATATAAAACTTCAAACGTTTGTATGTGCTTGTTAAAAGTCTATAATATGAACATACCACAACACGCATAAGCATCCAAATCCTAAATAAGGCCAGGCCGCAGAAAGTTCCAGCACACACTGTACCACCGAACTATATGACTTGCCTGCTGTTGTTAGAAAGGAGACAGTCAACTTGAGGCACTGACACAATGCAAGCCAGGAAGTGGCATCCATGGTGCAGTAATACTATTCCTGTGTTTTGGAAATCCTGAAAGTGCCCACCATGAGTCTTATAGGGCAGCTGGAGCATGAAATATCCTGTCTGACCTGCAAAAGGAAATTCCTAAACCACATTTCTAAAGTGCACTCAAATAACCACACATCTCAGGAAACATTTGACTCTTCTGTGTTTCTGCTATCGGGGTGGGTCCCTAACTTTTATTGTTCTCATAGGGTAGAATGAAAGTAGTGAAAGATATAAAAATAGATTGAAATAATCCTAGAGATCTCTCCAAGCAAGGTTATATTTAAGTTCTCTTTTCGAATCTGGCTGTGGCAGAACGTGAAATACATGGTAAATGAACAGCTGTGACTAGAACTGGATTGCTGTAGAGCATGAGAAAAATTTCTACAGATACAAGCAGTGAAGAAGAAAAAAAAAAACAGAAAAAGAAGAGCAGTCTTAACATGAAAAGAACATTTTCTATAACTGAATTTTTCACATATAAAAGGGAATTTATAATAATAATCTACCATAAAGGGAGGGGATGAAGTCACCACACACTTTGGTCAGCTCTCTATTAACTTCAAATACCAGACAGAACTTCTGCGACCCCAAAGCGCTCCACAAAGGCTGAGGCCAAGCACCTCGTACGCATTCTCTGCAGAAGTTTGCTCTGTGTCACAGATGACCATGCTGAAGTCTCCACCATTCCTGACATTTCCGAATTCACTGGTGAGTTTTAGGTGAGAGATCACGTTAAAAAAAAAAAAAAAAAAAAAGATCAAAATATTTGATGAAAAGAGAAGCCCTTCTAACTCTCATTAAGAAATTTAAGAAGGAGAAACAGGCTGGGCATGGTGCTGCGGGGGGAGAAGAGCAATGGCTTGGTGCAGGAGGGTGAACGCCCCTTCCCATGGGGCCTGGCCTGCATGCTGGTATAAGCATTCGTGTTTTCATTGCAAACTTTAAGGGTAGGGGCCAGCCAGATAGCTCAGCGAACTAGAGCGCCTGCTTAGGCAGAACACGGTGGCCAGGGTTCCGTGCCGGCCCCGCCCCCAGGATGCACTGAGGTGGTGACTGAGACTGGGCGTGGTGGCGCATGCCTGTAGTCCCAGCACTTAGGAGGCTGAACACAGGAGGATCACTATGGGTCTGATCTATGTGGTAAGACCTTGTAGACCCTGTTGACTCGGTCCTAAAAACATTAAAAAAACCAAACCCTTAAGGGTAATAAACCTAAATCTTTCTATATAC